CTCTCTCACACACACACACACTTCCCCTCCCTCTCCCTCACCCCCCTGCCCGAGCAGGAAGGTCAGCCACCTCTCCCACATCGGGGGGCTGCTGGGCGGCCTCTTCGTGTCCTTTGCGTTCCTGCCAAACCTCAAGGACCGCCGCTTCAAGTCGATGCGCCGCATCGTGGAGCGCACGTGGGGCCACCGCCTGCCGCGGGCGGCGCCGCGGGAGCACAAGTCGTGCTGGCGCAGCAACAGGTGGCTGTACTGGCTGTGCATGACGGTGTGCCTCGCCGCGGTGCTGTTCCTGTACGTTGCGCTGCCCGTCTGGATCTGGATTTGGAAGCTGCCGCGCCTGACGTGCCCCGTCGTGGAGGGGCTGGCGTGAGCCGCCGCGGCCGAGAGCAGCCGCGATCTTTTTTGTGCGAGCGAGGCGCGTCGCGCGGGCAGGTGTCGGCATTGGGATCATTTCGTTGCCAGCCCAGCGTGCCGGCCCGCCCTGTGGCGGGGGCCTGGGTCATCCAGGGATTCTTTATTCGCTGACTGCAAGTGGCTTTCAGATTCTTTTTACCCAGGACCAAGGTCATTGCTGTATTGGCGGACTTTTGCCGGCCTGATGTTTTTCGCAGGCCCAAGTGTTTTGTCATAGGCCCCACCCCCCCCCCCTGCCCCCCCGGGCCCTGCCACCGGACTGCTGTCTGTGCCCAAGACGCCCGCATGGGCTGCAATCAATCACATCACCTGCCTTATTGATCCATGTTGTATGGCCCTCTATTCCAATCAGTTGTCCGCTTATGTAACACACGCATGCAGAGGCAGGCGCTAGCATGACAGCTCGAGCTGCGGGCAGTGTTGACGGGGTCATGCCCTGCGCTGCCAATGACAACATCAAAGCAGTGCTGCAGCGCGACTCATGTTTGAGTACAAGTGCATGTACTATGGGTGTTTCATTTCAAACAACAAGGTCCCAGAATTTACGGTAGATCGCAGTATCGCGCATGCACGACTAGTTCTTCGTGCACGCCGCATCAAACCACCGTATGCTGACCTCGATAGCATACCGCACTCACATAGCTTGCAATCCGAAGCTTGGCGTGCCAGGGGCTCGCCTGCGCGTGGTGATGAGCAGCAGCGGCGCGGACGCTGGTGGGGCTGTCGCAACTGGGCGTATCGTCACAGACACTGCTGCCATCCGCCAGGTTCGCTGGCTGGGCATCGTAATGCCACGTGGCTGTTTGATTGAAGATTCCCCGCCGCGCCGCGTGCGGCGTCTCCCATTCAATGACGAGGATTGTTCTCTGTCTTGCCCTGGGCCTTGGGCAACGCCCGGTCCGATGCAGATCGCCGCGGCTGCCAAGCGCGTGGCTGTGCTGGGCATCAAAACTGAGAAACAGGCGGGCCAGCCGGCTTACTACGTCCCGCAGTACCTGCACGGCGCCGGCGTCGAGGTCGTGCCGGTGCGCCCAGTGCTGCCGCTGCTCTTGCTGCTGCTCCTGCTGCTGCTCCTGCTGCTGCTCCTGCTGCTGCTCCTGCTGCTGCTCCTGCTGCTGCTCCTGCTGCTGCTGCTCCCGACGCCGCCCCAGCAACCGCCGCCAGCGCCGCCGCCGCCGTCGCCGCCGCTGCCGCCGCCGCCGCTGCTGCTGCTGCTGCTGCTGCTGCTGCTGCTGCTGCTGCTGCTGCTGCTCGCCCCGTGCCAGGGCTCGGCGCGCAGCAGCGGCCGAGCGTTGAGCTGCCTTCAGCTGCCGGCTGTCGCACCACGTGCCGCGCCCGCTCCCCGCCGACGTGCCAACTACTGTCCCCATGGCAACCTTGCGGCCAACCCTGTGCCCAAACCAGGTGCCAGTGTTCTATCCGGAAGTCACGGAGATCCTGGGCCGACAGGTGTTCAGAAGACTGGCAGACATCCCCGGTGCGCCTTGCCCTGCAGGGCAGCAGTGGCCCGAGCGCGCACCGGCCCGGCGGCCGCCCCCAGCTTCGCGCGCCCCTGCGCTGCGCGGCGCCGCAGGAGGGCTGATTGGCGCAGGGAGGCGCGCCCGAGCGGCTGGGCCCCAACGGGCCCGCCCCTTGCAGTTGCCATGCTGCTGCGTCGGGGCCAGAGCTGCGCGTGGACGCACCTCCGCAGCGCCTCTCATGTGTGCCACGCACCGCGTCCCGCCCCCCTTCTTCATTCTTCAACCCCAAGGGCCGCCTGTCGACATCGTGGATGTCTTCAGGAAGCCCTCAGACCTGCCGCCCCACCTGGAGGACATCCTAGCCGCGAAGCCAAAGACCGTCTGGCTGCAGTCGGGGATCACACACCCGGAGTTCGAGGCGGCGCTGGCCGCGGCGGGCATCCAGGTGGTGGCTGACAGGTGGGGCGCTTGCCCATTTTTCCGCGCACGAGCTGCAGTTCCTTGGCTCACACGTATCATGCGGCCGCATGCGTGGCTTTTGAGCGCCTCAGGCCCTTGGCAGCAGGCAACTGAGGCTAACAAGGGTTGGCAGTGAAGCAGCCTGTTGCATGGTGAGGGGCATCACCTGTGCAATGCCCGAGGGGCGAGAATGCAACCGTCATCTGACGCCATCACAACGCCCCTGTGTTTGCCAGGTGTCTGCTAGTTGAGCACCAGGCAGCCGTCAGGGAGGGCCGCCTGTGAAGGCTCTGTTCCACTTAAACCCTGGATACACTACGCCTTGGCCTGACCAGCCTGCTGAGGGAGCAAGGGGTGGACAGGCTGAGGCGGCAGGAGCGAGAGCAGCGGCAGGGGCCCTTGCAAAAAAGCAAGGGCAGCAGCGGAGAGCGACAGGCAAAAGAGATATCTTCGCGTGAGCGTCTTGATCAGCGACGTCGGCGGCGGACAGCAGCAGACAGCAGCAATAACAGCAGGAGGCAGCAGCAGCAGCGGCAGCAGCAGCAGCAGACAGCAGCATAATAGCAGGAGCAGCAGCAGCAGGAGCAGCAGCAGCAGTATGGCGCGCACAAAGGGCGTCGCCCGCAAGCGCACGACGCCGCCGACGGACTTTGTGCTGGGCCCCTACGACCTGGCTGAGGGCGACACTGTCATCGGCAGGTTCCTGCTGGACAGAGGCAGCGACATCAAGTGGTACTTTGGGGTGCTGAGATTCAACACGGGCCCCGAATTCAGGCAGTGCACCTACGCCATCCACTACTGCGACGGGGAGGTGAAGATGTACACAGCAGAGCTGATGTACGACTTGCTGCGGGCCGGGCACATCCGCAAGGCGGTGGCCGAGGGCGGCGGCGCGGCCGCGGCGACGGCGGCGGCGGCGCCAAAGGCGACCAAGGCGGCCAAGGCGGCCAAAGTTTCGGGGGCCGCCGAGCGCAAGGGTGCCGGCGGCGGCAGGGCAGCGAGGGCGGTCGGGCGCGGGTGCGCCACGGCGCGGGGTGCAAGTTGATGTGTAAGTGTATCTGACCTTGGCGAGTCGTCTGGGGAGGGCATGATCCGCTTGACCGGCAGGGCAGGTGATAGCCTGTCGAGCCCTTTGCAGGTTGGCAGTGCTGGTGGGACCCATAAGCTGCATCCATGTGATTGCTGCACATCTTTTGGGCCAGGCCCTGCTGCCACCAGCCATGCTGTTGGCCAGTGCAACGACAGCTGAGAATCTTGGCGGCTCGCGCCCCCGGGCTGGGCCCAGCCGTAGCCACACATGGGGGAAAGGGGGCGATCTCACCCAGGCTGTGGGTCGCCACCCATGGGTGGGATCGGAGCCGATCGTGAGCCCCCAGTTGCCGCTTGGTGTACACAGAACCAGCGCCACTGTGCAGCATGCTTTGAGTGCCACGAAAAAGGGTGCATTTGTCCAGTGGTGAAGCGGGAAGGATCACTCGCAGCTTTCCAAGCTGCAAACAAGGAATGCGGCACGAGCCTGTGGCAGACCTGACTATCCTTGGACGTGCGCACAAGCACTTTGCGCGGGGTAAGCTCGCTCAACATACATTTGTATCGATGATTGTGAGTGCAATGCGTCTAGCGTCGATCTTCTGCTTCAAGCGTTGCGATGCCAGGGTGAGCGAGCGGCAGCATTCTCAGCGTGATCTGGCTGCGAGGCTCGAGATACTTGCAATGAGCAGTACACACTGAATTGAGACATCAAGTTTATCCCTGTATCCGGCCTCGCAGGTGGGTTCCCAGCTATCGAGCCTTGTCGACGCCCATTTTGTGTCGCCACAGAGGGTGCTTCATGAACTGGTCGTTTGGGGAAGTGCTCCTGCAGTTATTTAGGTGCCACTACATTCTGTACACATTGCAGCAACCTCCTGCTGCTGCGCCCCCTACGCGGTCGCTATGTGAGTACAGTCGGCTTGTCGCCCCTTCATCGCCGCAAGACAGGATGGCTCAGGCTGGGTACGCGCCGTCGTTTGGCGATGGTGCAGTGGAGCCCGGCTGGATGGGGACCAGGTTTCCCGCAGGGGCCACCTGTGAAGCCCCGGCGGGCGAGCGGGAGGAGGCGCTGCCGCCGCATGGGGCGCCAGTTGGGGAGGGCCAGGCGCAGCAGCAGCAGCTCCGCCAGGACGCCTTCTCGCCGCCGCAGCAGCAGCATTCCGCCTACAGCGTGCCTATTGTGACGGGCTCAGCGCCGCTGATTGGCAGCCACCAGTGGCATTCCATCACCACGCTCCCGCCTGATGGTGCCAACAGCGGAGGTGGCCAGTATGCAAGCGACCGCTTGCAGCATCACGGCAGCAGCGCGACACAGCAGCAGCAGCAGCAGCAGCAGCAGCAGCAGCAGCAGCAGCAGCAGCAGCAGCAGCAGCAGCAGCAGCAGCAGCAGCAGGAGCTCGTCACCGCCGGGCAGCTCCTGCCTTTTGTGAAGCACTACATGCAGCGGCTGACGACCAGTGAGTGCTGGCTGTTCTGTCTGAGCAGGATGGGGATACCGCAGAGGCATCCTGACCCTCGTCCTGACGAGCAGCTGCTCTGTGCCGATGATGAGGCAGGGCCCCAAATCGCCGGCGCCATGCTACCCCACTTGCCCGTGCGCAGACGTTGTGCACGTGCTGTTCTGGGCGGTGGACGCGGCTGGGGATGCGACACTGGCGGTGGTGGGCACAGACGTGAGGCAGACCGGCCACTTTGTTTACTCGGTGCGTCACGCGACGGAGATCGAAGCGGGTCGCGCCGCCAGCTGCTCAGCTGCCGGTCGCGCCGCATGTCTGCTGGGTTGACGGACGGGCGGGGTCCAGGCGGAATAATGGATGGCCGGGGATGCTGACACACTAGTGATATCACTGGACTCGTATCAAGCAGCCTTCGAGGGGGTCAAGTGAGATGCAACAAGTGTCGGGAGACGCGTGCGCCAGTTGCTGGCCGCCATTCACTGCAGCCCTGAACGCGTATTTCTTTCTCGCAGACCGTCAGCGACTGGACGGCGGGGCCGCCCCTGCGCTGCACCAACAGAGGGGTGAGCTACACTCATAACTGCATCTCAACAATGCTGCACCATGTTCGTCCTTTCGGGCACCCCGCTTGACCGAGAGATGGATCTCAGCACCCTGTAAAATAGGGTACAACATTTCTGTTGCGGCGCACGTTGTCTGTGCGCATGCTTGTCACCCCTTGCTTTGGCAAGACAGGAGGCTGTCCTAATAAACCCTAACAATATTGCTTGATCCTGCATCACCCAACTTATGAAACGACAACCATATGGGGACCCCCTGTCCGCGCCTTTTACAGAGGGTGCGCCGCGTCCGTGCGCTGATCGCGCGTTGCAGCCACCGCGCGCCTGCTGAACCTGCAGCACCTGTGATGTCTGGTCGATCGTGCCCCCGCCGCAGCTTTGCTGTCCCTTGCTCCATTCCAGCCACCCCTCACTTTGCAGCTGCTGCTGTGTGCGACAATACACTGACGCCCGCCCCCTCGCACCCCACCCCGACACTGTACCATCTCGGCCCTAATCGTAGATCTCATCCTCATCCTAATCTGAGTCCTACTTTCAATCCTAATCCCTGAGGCAACGCCAGGTGATGGAGTACCTGACGGCTCTGGGGGCGGCCGAGCCCGCGCAGGAGGGGCAGCCCCTGCGCGTGCCACCGCTGGCGCCGCACCACTGGCAGCAGCTCAACAGCGCCGAACTCAGCTTCCAGAGGCCGCGGCTGGACAGGTGAGGCTGCGGCCTTGCTGACCCATGGTTGGGGGGCTTGTGCGTGCACGCGGGGGCGTGCTTGGGGGTGTGATGGCGCGCGCTTGTCTTGCGTCCTAGTCTTGCGCCCTTCCGTGGGCAACGCTGGCCTGCACAACGACATCCAGCATCAGAAATCAGCGGACGGCTTGTGTGGAGTGGCTTTCATGTTCGTTTGACCTGCGTCATTGCAGCCACCGTTTGTCGGGCGGCTCAGCTCGACGTTCAGCATGTGCCCACTTGCGCACGCTCGCCTCACAGCACGACCTCGCACCCGCCGCCACCATTGGCCCATCCCACCGACCCTCAAATTCTGTCGCGCCCGCAGGCCGTACGACAGCTGGCGCGAGGAGGTCGGCACGCTGCCCGACGGGCGCCACTACAAGGTGAGTCATACATTGCAGCCATTACCGCGACTCCGCCGTGTGCCGGCCCATCCCCCAGGCCACTAACACTCTCTCAGAGGTTCGTTCGCAGCCAACATCGATCAAGCATCACGCTCAGCCTGGCTGCCCCTTCTATCCCGCCCACCCACCCCGCCGCCTGCAGAACTACTTTGTCGTCGACTCGGCACCGGGCGGGGAGCGCCTGATGGTGGTCGCGGAGGACGGCGTGCGCAAGGACAGGCGGTACGCCTACAAGGCGGCGCCAGACCTGGGCGGGTGAGCCGGCAGCTGCGAGTTCACACCCAAGCTAGCTTGAGCCCTTGTGGGCTGATGGAGCGAGTCCAGGCCGGCGGTTGGGGTGTGTCATTCGCACGGGAAGTGCGTCGTGTGTGTGTGTGTGTGTGTGTGTGTGTGTGTGTG